GTGTTGCAGTCGGATGACGCATCCAGACCTCGTGTGAATGCGCTGAGTGAGTAGATTGGCAGACATGACGCTAGTCTGTGTTGCAGATGGCGTGGTGGCGTGATGGAGCGTGCATCCCGCAGTGTGGCATATTGAAAGCTCAGGAGATTTTGATGCATAGATGCTATCAATATTTTACGATTCGCTGGCGATGCCGACCGAGAGAAACCGGTCTTGTGAAGTCTGCAGTGGTTTCGACATGGGAAATCCTGGTTGATGCAAAATGCCACTTGCGGACCTTGATTTTGCCTCTTCAAGCTCGAGTAGTGGAGTCAATGCAATGGAATGCATGGCGGGCCAGTGGCGGGCCAGTGGCGGGGAGATTGGTGGGGTATACAGAGCTCTCGGCAGTAAACTGGTCAACTGCTATTGACTTCAGTGCGCCAACTCCGTCCAGTACCTGGCAAAGGGCAACATTGAACTGCTATCAATTTAGATTGGGCCCATCGTTATCAATTGATGTTGCATCTTGGTCTGCAAGCAGCATCGAGATCAAGATGCAATTTATCTCGTTTCCTCGAATGCCGCAATCTTTGATGTAGCAGAAACAATACAAAAGCTCTACGCACCGCTGTATGTCGTCGCCCTTGAATTCTAGCGAGTTTCCCGATGTCATGCCTCGCCAAGCCCCTTGACCAACACCTGCCACCTCTAACTCGTCGAGTCAATGGTCCTTCCTTCCGTGTGACGCCACCAACGGCCATGGCATTCAATATTTCTCCCCGTCTTCCATCATCCGGGGCCTCGGTATCTGCCCATTGGGCCACGAACCACCATCGACGCCATTTCAGTCAGCAGCTTCGCCGTCGAATTAGCTGCTGCCAACTACCTGTCCTTTGCCGTGGCTGGACCACCGTGGGACAACCTTCGCGCCATTCGAACCCAAAGCATCCATGCCGCCCATTCGGTTTGCGGATCGCCGATGTAAACGGCCCGGCCAGAGGAGCTTGCGGCTGGACACGATACGGGTAGTCATGTAATCGTCATGCTGCCCCTTCAAAACCGTCGCCCTGGGCTTGCAGGTCCCCAAGAGCTGATTCCTTCCCTTGCTATTCTTACTTCTTCAACCAATTGGCCTGCCCGTGCCAAATTGATTGCCTTTGCTCGGGAAGCTTGTTGAAACTGCCCAAGCTGCGAAACCAATCTCTTTGTCGAGCCCAAGTTCTCTCTCTGAGCTTCAACTCGCCCCGTCACCGCGCCTGAGCTATTCGCCCTTCTACACCCGCCATTCGCAATGGCTGACGAACAATCCATCCGGGCTTTTGGCCCAGCTCGTTCTACCATCAAGGGCAATCCCCTGAGCTCCTCTGATATTGCTCTGTACAACGACTACTTCAAGGCCAGCTGCTACTTGTCTTTGGGTATGATTTATCTCCGAGATAACCCGCTGCTTCGCGAGCCTCTCAAGAAGGCACACTTGAAGCAGCGCCTTCTTGGCCACTTTGGATCTGCTCCCGGTCAGATCTTCACCTATATGCACTTCAACCGTCTAATCAAAAAGTACGACCTGAGTGCCTATTTCGTGTCTGGCCCTGGTCACGGCGCGCCGGCTGTGCTCTCACAGTCCTACTTGGAGGGCGTCTACTCAGAAGTCTACCCGGAGAAATCCTTGGATGCTGCAGGTCTCCAGAAGTTCTTCAAGTACTTTTCGTTCCCTGGTGGCATTGGCTCTCACGCCACCCCCGAAACTCCTGGTTCCATTCACGAAGGTGGTGAATTGGGTTATTCCATTTCCCATGCCTTCGGCTCGGTTTTTGACCACCCAGACCTGATTGCCTTGACCATGGTTGGCGACGGTGAAGCCGAGACTGGTCCTCTGGCAACTTCATGGCACTCGACCAAGTTTCTAAATCCCATAACGGATGGAGCCGTTTTGCCAGTCTTGCATCTTAACGGGTACAAAATCAACAACCCCACCATTCTTGCCCGTATTTCCCACGATGAGCTCAAGAATTTGTTCATTGGCTATGGCTGGGAGCCCTTCTTTGTTGAGGGTGACGAATTGGACAGCATGCACCAGGCCATGGCCTCAACACTCGAACACTGTGTCCGCCTGATCAAAGACTACCAGAAGGAAGCCCGAGAGAGCGGGAAAGCCTTCCGTCCCAGATGGCCAATGATTGTCTTGCGAACGCCCAAGGGATGGACTGCGCCTCGAAAGGTCGATAACAACTATCTTGGAGGATTCTGGCGAGCGCACCAGGTCCCCATCACCGATGTCAACACGAACTCTGAGCATCTCAAGGTTCTCGAGGATTGGATGCGTAGCTACGAGCCGGACAGACTCTTCGACGAGGAAGGTGCACCAGTCGCTGCCTTGCGAGCTCTATGCCCCGAGGGAAATCGTCGTATGAGTGCCAACTTGGTTACTAATGGAGGTCTTATTAAGAAGCCTCTCAAGATGCCTGATTTCAGAGATTATGCCATCAAGGTCGATCAGCCTGGTGCCACAATGAACGGTAGCATGACAAATATGGCCGGCTTCCTGAGAGACGTCATGGCACTGAACATGCATAATTTTAGACTGTTTGGTCCAGACGAAACGGAATCGAATAAGCTGGCTCGAGTTTATGAAGCGGGCAAGAAGGTTTGGATGGGTGATTACTTCGAGGAGGATGCCAACGGTGGCAACCTTGCCATGGCTGGGCGTGTCATGGAGATGCTCTCCGAGCATACCTGCGAAGGGTGGCTAGAAGGGTATATTCTGAGTGGTCGCCATGGTCTTTTGAACAGCTACGAGCCGTTTATTCATGTTATTGACTCCATGGTCAATCAGGTATGTCGGCCATGCAACTACTCCTATGATGGTGATATTGCTAACAACATTCCAGCACTGCAAGTGGATTGAAAAGTGTCTGGAGGTGGAATGGCGAGCCAAGGTTGCTTCGCTCAACATCCTTCTGACTGCCCTTGTCTGGAGACAAGATCACAATGGCTTCACCCATCAGGACCCCGGTTTCCTCGACGTCGTTTCCAATAAAAGCCCCGAGGTTGTTCGCATCTACCTGCCTCCTGATGGCAACTGTCTCTTGTCTGGTGAGTCTCATCCCGTGTATTTGGCCAATCTAGTCCCAGAGAGGGGGCGAAAAAAGGGTAGAACAATAGAAAAAAGACGGCATTACTAATCAAGCGTAGTCATGGATCACTGCTTCCGATCGAACAACTATGTCAATGTTATTGTTGCCGACAAGCAAGATCATTTGCAATACCTAGACATGGAGAGTGCCATTCAGCACTGCACCAAGGGAATCGGCATCTGGACAAAGTTTAGTACTGACGCAGGTTATGAGCCCGATCTGATAATGGCTTCCTGTGGCGATATTAGCACTCAAGAGTCCATTGCTGCTGTCGATCTCCTGCTCATTTACTTTCCCGATCTCAAAATCCGCGTCGTCAACTGTGTCGACTTATTCAAGCTTATTCACCCGAGTGATCACCCGCATGGTCTCACTGACAAAGAATGGATCAGCATCTTTACTGAAAACACCCCCATCGTCTTCAACTTCCACAGCTACCCCTGGATGGTGCACCGTCTCACCTACAAGCGACCCGGCAGCGGGAATCTGCACGTCCGAGGATACCGTGAGAAAGGCAACATCGACACACCACTAGAGTTAGCTATTCGCAATCAGACCGATCGTTTCAGCCTCGCTATCGATGCTATTGACCGCATGAAGTTTCTGGGTAACCGTGCTGCTTCGGCTCGACAAGCACTGCTGGACCAGCAGATTGCTGCCCGTAGCGAGGCCTTTGAAATGGGTATGGATCCGCCGGCATTGTCGAAGTGGACATGGCAGCGGAATGGACTTTGGCAGAAGGCTGCTGAAAAATTGCCCATTCATACGAAATAAACATAAAAGGGGGCTTTTGTCTGGGAGGGAGTTGGCAGTGTATAAGAATAATTTGGCGCGATATGTTGCAGGTTGGCATATGATGGTTTGTTTACCGCTTTTGGTCTGTTTAGGTAACTAGTAGTGTTGCAAAGTCTGAAAATTCCTTGGGATTCGACGGCCTGAACCTCAATACAATATTATCGTTCATATGTATGGAAAGAACACTGCGGCAATACGTATTGCTCGAGAGAATGTGTGTCGCCGATGAAACCAAGTGGTTATGGCCTCGGTGAAGACCATGGGCTTGGCACCCGGAGCCGGACGCCGGACGCAGCGTATCCACCCGGCGATCGAGGCCGCGGGAGTGGTTTCGAGGGCGATTATGACGTGGGACGTTGGGTCGGCCATGTTTTTGTCGATGCAGTTGACGTATTGCTGCCGGGAGCTTGGATGCGAGGCCGGGAAGCAGCGTTTGTGGAAATTGCTGCTTCGTAGCGCGCTGTGAAGGGCTTTCGGCATGGCCGGGCGGATGCGGAGGAGCAGAGACATTGTTGGATCATGTGTATGTATTTGTGCAGCGTCTTTGGGATGGGGTGGGTTGTTTCTTGGCCCTGATTTGGAGAGGGGATGGATAAGTCGAAGGGTCTCGATGGCTGGAGTTTACATGTGTGTGTCACAAGGCGCAGGACGTGTATGGGCTTTTCCCAGCGTCGACGAATTCTCAAAAGGGAGCGCTAGGCCTTCAGCTGGGGCTTACTCTCTGAAGCTCTCAGAAGAAAAAGAGGCGTGTATTTTGGCTGTTCGTTTAGACACGCTCCATCTGAATGAAGTCGCAGCAAAGCGGGTTTTCCCCAACGAGGTTCGGCGAGGGGATGCCACGCAAATGCGAAATACGATTGCCGTTCTATGCGGTCGTCTCCACGCCCGTTTCTGTTGGATTTGCCTTGAACTAAATGACGGCATGTGTCGTATCTCCTTGGCCGGCACATGTGGTGCCTTTGTTGAAGCCACTCACAGCGGCATCATGACAACCAGCACGATCATCATCTACACAGCAGCCATTGCCCGTGCCTCCAAAACCTCAGACACCGTCAACTGGAGAGGGGATAAAGTTCCAACGCCCCGGGCTTACACGGCGGATAATTTGCAACCAACCAGTAGAAACCTCACCACGACAAAGGTACACGTCGAGGCCAAAAGACAAAGGCCGCAAAAGAGCTGCAAGCCCAGGTAGCTGCCGTCGTCTGCGGCAACGATGGCGCCGCCGACAGGGCTTCCTACCAGGGCGCCAAGGGACATGACTGCGTAGGCCGTGCCGACCCGTGTGCCGATTTGGCTCATGTCGGAGATCTGAGCAATGAGGGTGGGCGACAGGGAGATGAATGCGCCCGAGGAGAAGCCAAATAGAGCCAAGAACACGACGATGCCGGCCGTGTTTCTCACGGGTATCGAGACGGCCAGGCAGGAAAGAGCAGAGAGGAAGCCGATGACGATCATGACGTTGAAGCGGCCCAGTTTATCGGCCGCCATGCCCGGAATGATGCGGCCAAATATACTAACAAGATCCAAAGTCAGCAAAGGGCGGGGGTTTTATCTAGGTGGGAAAGCATCCTTTTTGCCCAACACGTGTAGAAAAAAAAAGAAAGAAAGAATGGTACCTTGCAGCATTGAGAACCGGCAGCAGATACGGAATCAGATTCGCTGGGACGCCGGCGGCCCCGGCCTGCAGCAGAGCAAAGTTGAACGGCAGCCACATTCCAACCATGAAGAAGAAGAAGGCCACCGTCGTGGCGGCCAGGCGGACATCTCGCAGAGCGCCAAGGCAATCCACGAGCCTGAACGGGCGCGGGCGCGGCGGCAGTCTCGCCCTGACGGTGCAGCAGGCGACGGCCAGCAAGGCGAAGAATACACACGCCAGCGCGCGCACCATCCAGGGGAAGCCGAAGCGGCGGATGAGGCGGTCCATCATGACGGGCAGCACGACGCCGCCCACGGAGCCCCCGGCGGCCGTGACGCCGTACGCGGTGGAGCGGCGCCTCGAAAACCACGACACCACGCACGACGTGGACGCGCTGAAGACGGCGCTGGAGCCGAGCCCCGCGGCGACCGACTGCGCGAGGAAGAACTCGTGGTACTCTGTGCAGAACGACATCGTCACCAGGCCCAAGAGCAGGACGACTGCGCCGGGCCCCAGGAGCCACCTCGGCCCGTAGTTGTCAAAGACTTGCCCGCACTGTTGGGGAGGGGAAATACAAGACCACAGGGTTAGAAACATCTTGGGAGGAGCAACGGGGAGGGTAGAGGGCACACTTACAACCGTGCTGGCGGATATCATGAGGAACGCCTGGGCGGCCGTGATCCAGCTGATGGCGGCGGCGTCGTGGTTCATCAGAGGTCCAGAGGCGTAGTATTCGACAAACACGCCGGAGCAGTTGAGCAGCCCAAAGGTGCAAAAGGCGGCGCACCAGCCGCCCAGCACGACGAGCCATGCTTCAAGACCGCCATCGGGGAAATCGGCGTCGTCGCCGTCTTCCGTGGCCGTGGCCGTGTCAGCACCTTCCAGGTCGGTGCTCTGAGATGCTCGTCCCGTAGTCGATCGAGGTTTGGGCTCGTCGAGCTCATGGTCCGACGGGCACGAGCTGGGGCAAAGAGTGGTTGAGCCCAGGGACTCGGTGGAGGATTTGGTCCCGTCAACAGCCTTGACGAAGTTTGCAACCGGCATTTTGACCGAGGGGAAACGGCGCGTATAAATTGCTGAATCAAAGACACCGTGATGCCCGTTATGCTCGCTGCCTCATGTGGAATGCAGTACAGAATCTCCTTGCAAGTGTTCTGGTTACTTGCGCTGGTTTGGCCGACTTACACCGTGTCTACCGGGCGAATAGTTCCCATGCGGGGGTGTGACAAGGACGGTAAACTGCTGTTTATATAAGAAACGCCAATCTCTGACCATAACCACGCCCCTGTATAATGTTAGCCCGTAAGCGGAGGGGAAAGTAAAGAACATGGGAACGGAGGATGGCGGCGAGCAGAGTCCAAGATTATATCCCATGCCGGCACTCTGCTTGGGCAAACAATACACCCAACAAGGCTACCGTATCGCTCGGCGCTCATCCCACATGGTCTTGTACGAAATGCTATTGTTGCCCATTGTCCCGCAGTCTCGGTGAGCAAACGCACCCGGGGAGCGGCCCAGTGCACTCGTCCACGTCGACGCGTACGAAATTTCGTGCGAACCAACATCACGCACCTGTTGTGAAAGCTGTGCCGGTGGCAAGAGACGCCGCATGCTGGCGTGGTGGCTCTTGTTGGCTGTTCTCCAGAGGGATCTGGGGGATCTGAGCGCGAGTTATTATTGTGACTGTTGGTTTCTATTGTGCTCGCGGCGACCAAACTGCCAGACACCCCGGGCTTGGCACTAAACTTGAAAAGGAAAGCAACGGTGTCCGTAGAGTCACTCAGGTCATGGTTGTCAGTGAAAACACCTTCAAGGGACCATATGGGCCGTGTTGGCAGACGCGGCTACGTCTTGGGGTGGCCCGCGAAACGGTTCAAACATCCCTAAGCTGGGGAATACATTCGTCAGCTCCCACGCGTGGCGAGCGTGAAGAGTATGGAATTATAGAAATTCTTCATGCCGGATGAGCGGGCAGTATACACGGCACAAAGGGGTGGTGGACATCCGGTGGCTTTGTCCGACGCCCACGTAAAAAAGAGAAATGTATGACTGAAACACGACGAGCCTTGTCTGCCGGGACGCCCTGTATTCTGCATGTCTCCGCGGATATCTGATTTTGATCTACACTCGCAATATCGAATCCGAGGGGAAGAAAGCTGGCTGTCATCCACTGAAATCTATAAATATTCAGCAGCTCGTCTTGTACTAATACACTTCTACAGTCAGTATGGGATACAAATGAGCAAACGTGTCTTGTTCGTATCATTTTAGCTCTCCCCGGCCAACAAGCGAATCTCATTACCGCACAAACTCTTTCAGCTCCCTTCCCTCTTCCAACACAACCTTGCCGTCTTTTGGCGCCGGCCCAACTTGCAGATTGCTGGTGACCTCGTCTGCTTGAGACTTATCTAGGCTCTGCCCTCCCTCCTTTGGCTTGCTCGCCAGCTCGACAGCCGAGGGTAATACTCCCGCCGGTGCATCAGCAATTTCATTGACTTGCTCTCGAGACAACGCATCTGCGACACGTACGCCCCGACTTGACATCAGGATTGTGGCAGGACCCTTGAACTGAAGGAATAGACGGTCACCCCAGATGGTTCGTCGTGCCATGGTTCGGAAGTTGTGTAAAGCCCCAGCAAGGAACTTGTAGACATCCGAGTTTCGCACCGTCTTGACCAATTCCATCTCTGGAATCCAAGATGTCAATGAGGGTACTTGAAGACGCAGGCTGGTGCTTTTGAAGCGGAACGGCTGCGGTGCGTTTCTCGAAACAGAGTAAGCGACAACGCTGCCCGGATGGGCGACAAACTCTTCGCCTTCTCCCAGTGTAAGCTGGTAGATTTGTCCTGGGGCAGATAGGGCAGCCAGTCCCCGCCCGGTCAAGTGTGTGCTGCCCCAGTGTGCAAGCGCATGCCTGCGCTGGATTCGAGAAGACAGCGTCAGCGTGTGGCCTGTCCAAGCGAGTAGCGCATTTCGCTGAGATACCATCCAATCGGTAGTGCCATCGAGGTGAAGAACGGTAAATGTAGTCGTCGGTGACTTTGTGGAGATGAGGGCGGTAATAGGTGTCGTCGCAGAAATTCGCTGGTAGACAAACGGAACTCCGAAAGCAGCTCGGGTTACAGGATTCAGCAGTGATAACGTCGATTGGGCCTTGTGCAAGCATGCAGTTAGAAACATTTTCCCCAAAAAAAGAATTTGAGCCGAATCGCATGCCATAGTCACATGGCTTCATCATTCATACGTTATCTGGCTTTCCAGCTACAGCAACAAGCGTGCCCCGCCTCGTGTAAAGTTTCTGCGATGCTGAAAGGGTGACGGATAGCAGTGAGTATGGAGATCCAAGAACTTCGAACCGAGCATCTGTACAAGTCGAATGTCAGCTTCAAGCTATGCAGAGCCAAGCTAGCAGTGCAAAAATGAGCAGCCGACTCACCAGCCATATCTCGCGCGCCGCCAATGGGAGCTCCAAACGCATCGCCAGGCACCCTCGGGGACTCGGTGCTCGGGGCAGCACTGATCTGAATTGTCCTGCATTGCCAGCAGACAAAGGACGCGGGCCGCCGAAGACGCAGACCACGTGTCGACCTCACCAGCGGCGAAGACCCTCGCATCATGGCGTCGCAGTCTCTTTGAGGAGACTTTTGTTCGTCAGTGGCGGTCGCAAAGAATGAACGGTTGACGTCGATGCGCAGCTCTCATACGCTTGGGGTGGCACGCTTGGCTGGAAGGGCGGCTTTTTCCGATGCCGTCCACCGGCCCCACAATCGTGGACAACCCCGTTGAGATCGCCCAGCTATTGGCTGGAGCTGTCGTTGCCCAGACAACCACGCCAATCTCGCTTTGCTTTGCCAATTGCACTGGCACCTCCACACCAAAGATCCTGGCAGGACTTATTACTCAGTTTGCCTGTGAGCTTCCATCACTCGTCATCTCCTTGGGCACAAGTATCGTGTACGGGAGTAGTGCCGGGAGCGTTCATTGTAAATCGCCGTCGCGTAGTTCGGGTTGCATCGCGACGTTCCCTTTGTCAATTGGCTTTGCCTTGCATGCCCTCTTTTCCTTAGACATCAGCCATGTCCGTTCGTGTTGTTGCGAGGATACGTCCGCTGCTGGAGACAGAGCTGGACAAGGACATCATTGTTCGTCCTGACGGTGCTGAGGCAGGCGGGCCGCACACCATTGTCAAGATCCCCAACCCGAAGAACCAGGCCGAGGACTTTTCCTTCGCGTTCAATGCCGTGTACGATCAGTCGACATCACAGGAGACGCTGTTTACTTCTGAAGGTATGGGTTGCAAAAGAAACAGCAGTTCCTGCCCTTGCCCCTCTCTCCAAGCGTATGAAGGAGGCGTCCGCCTCGATCCCCCCTTCCAAATGCTAAAGCCTTGAACAGTACAGCCGCATCTCAAGTCATTATTCCAGGGATATGATGTCACAATATTCGCCTACGGTGTCACTGGCACGGGGAAGACGCATACTATGCGTGGCGGTCTCAAGCTCGCCGACCGAGGAGTTATTCCCCGACTTTTGAGCGGCGTGTTTCGAAGGGGCAAAAAGATTGCCAAGGACTCAGACGGCAACACGACGGTAAAAGTCAGCCTGTCGTACTACGAGATTTACAATGACAAGGTGTTCGACCTGCTCGAGCCGCCTGAGAAGAGAACACCATCCGGACTGCCGCTTCGCGCCGAGGCCAGCGGGAGAACCGTTGTAGCTGGGCTGTCTGAGCGAGCCTGCGAGGACCTCCGCGACTTTGAGAAGCTGTACATTGAGGCTAACAACAACCGTGTTACCGCGTCCACAAAACTAAACGCACACAGTAGTCGGAGTCACGCCATCCTACGCGTCAAGGTAACCCAAACGACGGACGGAATGATCCGTGAGAGTACTGTATCTGCCATTGACTTGGCAGGTTCAGAAGACAACCGTCGCACTGACAATGGCAAGGAGAGACTGGTCGAGTCGGCGGCTATCAACAAGAGCCTCTTTGTCCTCAGCCAGTGCATCGATGCCATTTCAAGAGGTGACAAGCGCATTCCGTACAGAGAATCCAAAATGACCCGAATTCTATCCCTTGGCCAGAACAACGGCATCACGCTTATGTTCTTGAACCTGGCTCCTCTCCGCAGCTACCACCTTGACACCCTGAGCAGTCTCAACGTCAGTTCCCGGGCTAAGCGGATAGAAGTCCGCGAGATTGAGAACGAAGTAGTGTTCAAGCAGTTCCCCAGAACGGCGGGCTCTTCTATTGCCGTTCAGCGCCAGCCACTTCGACCGCTGGCTCATGCCTTGAGCGCTCACAACGTGCACAATGGCAACGTAGCTGCCAAAGGTTCTGCAGACGTAACTCGACCCATCAAGTCGTTCAGCGTTTACACAGACAAGGCCAGGCAGTCTCCAACCAAGACAATCTCCATATCAACGTCACTGCCGCGACCTGCTGCTGTAAATGTTAGTTTGGTGCCTCGCCTCAGCGCCGCCCACAAGCGTCCATCGGACCACGAGAGTGGAATTGCGAGACCCAGCAAACTTGCTCGGCCGTCCATTGACGAGCCATCCATCACAGTAACTGCATCGCAGATTGAGGCCATGGTCGAGAAAAAGGTTGGCGAGATCTTGGCAGCAAGGACGGCCGCCGAGAAGACAGTGCAAAGCCAAAAACACGGCGCGACTTCTCAACATGACGTGAGCGAAGCTATGCAAAGACGTCTGGAGGCGCTGGAGCGGCGCATCGAGAGTGAAGATGCTCGCGTGGACTCCAAGTCTGATGGTCTACGATTTCTGCTAGCTGCCAGGCAACACAGGGAGAAAGGTGACGATGCCTCGGCATTGAGAGCCTACGAGATGGCTCTGCCTTTCTTTCCAGGACAGGCCAAGTTGATTGGGAAGATTCAACGCCTGAGAAACCGATTGGGAATTTCTGCCGAGCATACTTGCGTCATGAGGAGCCCCATGAGGAGGAGCCCCCTGAGACACGATAGAAAATTGAGACGGTCACGCCTCACGATCAACCCTGATCGCACAAGCTCCGATCAGGATGAA